TCCTCTTCTTCTCCTCTTGTAGATGTGAACCCCACCCTCCTCGCGCTACTCATTGAATGCCCCAACTTTGAACAAAATAGCTGAAACTGAGCCACCAAGAAAGAGAAAATTTCAGCTTTGTCTTCTCTCTCTTTCTCTCTCTGTCTGCAAGTGCAATCAAGAGAGAGAGCCACAGCACGTAGGATGAGCCCCAACTTCTTCTTTTTCCCCTTTCCATCTGAGTATTTTCTCTGTACGTTTTCTCTCTTTCTTTTTTTGCAGGTTTGTGAGTGCTAAAGAAAGAAAAAACATTCATTGTGTTGAATGTGCATGCTTCTGCATGAAGCCCTTTCGATTATGCTCGATTATTTTTTTATGTTTATAGATGTGTATGTATCAATGTTTTATGAGGTAATTAAGCTTTTTCCCCGTTTTCTCTAGTTAATGTACAAAAAAGAGGTGGTGAGAATGGAGCCGCATCGCCACGGGGGTCGATTGCAAAGCTCGATTCCGTTTACCTTTCTATTTTAATTTTGGACCATATTAGATGATTGACAAATGTTTTCTTATAAAATTTTCAAAATGCAGTTCTTCTCGCTACATTGATCCTCACTATTCTCTCTTTTTTAAGAAAGAGGTTTCTAATTGTGTAATTAATGGTTATCATAGCTTGTTGTCATTTAGCATTGTTCAAATTAGTTTCTAACGAACAACAAACTATTTATAACTATTTATTATTTCGAATCTCAATGGACCGGTGCATACATTAATAACTCCTGAAAGTTAAGTGAATTATGCAATTTCTCGAACAACAACTGGCTTCAAATTCTCATAACTATTACTTGAAAGGAATTATCGGTGCCTATGCTACCCAATTACATGCTCAAATTTTTTATGGGATTTCAATTTGATAAATCATTTCAAATATATGAGTATCTTTAAAATAGGCATATAGTTATAACAGTATAAAATGCATATCTAAGACGTAAAAGTTATCTTCCCTTTATATATAATTTCATAGTCAAAAACTCAGTTTATTGTTGCTGATTTATGTATTGTGTAAATTCCTCTAATAATTAGAAAACATGAATGTGCTTAAAATGACATAATTCCATGCACTTTCTTCCATCATAATATTGCATAAATAGCGTATTAATTATATTTATCGAGACACGCCAATTTTAATTTTCTCGGCTCCGTTAATGCTTTAATATAATTCGTAGTCAGGTATTCCAAATTCTAAATTGAAAATTATAGAAAAACTTGACTTGATCGAAAATATTCGATTCCTTTTCTGTAATTGTCAGAGCACCAGTCACACAAGAAATTTTACCATGACATGACTCGCTTCTAGCTGGTCAAAAAACATTAAATTTGAACCTCTACATCGTGTGTATAGCTATAGCTATCCGATTGATGCCAATTTTATTAAGTTTGGTGCTGACTCGTTTGCTTGTTGTTGAGCCATGAGGAGAAGAAATGATCTATGTGTGTCAGACCAAAGCAATAATGCAATATGCAACGGCCTTTGTCTAAAGTGTATGCACTGTACGGTGAATAGGAGGTGAATTTCATTTGAGTGATTCCGTACAAATGGCTTATCAACATGGTAAAAAGTCCACTTTTGGTCCCTCAATTTGCGTGATTTTCCGATAGGATCCTTGAACTTTTGAATGTGCCTAATCAAATCCCTCCGACTTCGGATCTGGTTAATTAGAGCCAATATATTTGGTGGTGGCAATGAGAGTATGACGTGATTAAATGTCGTCGTCGTCACGGGCTACTGGCTAATGTGGGGTGACTAATAGCTTGGAGGATGAAAATCATCACAACCGTACCATGAGCAATATCTCAACAAGAACACTGCTTTTGAGCTTTTCTCATAAAAAATCTTGCAGGCTCCAATCATCACATCGGCTCCGGTTAACTGAATTTGGAGTTCAGGGGACTTGATTGAAAAATCATGCAAGTTAAAGGACTTGATTAGACGAACTGAAAGTACAAGGACTTGATTGGAAAAAAAGAACAAAGTTCAAGAGCCAAAAGTAAAATTTTACCTATTAATATTCAAAAGATCAAAGCATTTTGAAGAAAAATAAAGGGAAGTCGTCGATTAGAATCTAAATTCTAAATAGACAGCACTTATTTTTATTTATAACACTTAGTATTTGGATTTTTTAACTCAATCAATCCTTCCAGATGCATGCAAACGTCCCATTCACATGCATCGAATAAAGTTTCAAATTAAGATGATAGACATTACCCTCAAGGTTACTCTACATTAAAACATCTTGTGTTGCATGTCCACAAGGTTTTACTATCTTATATAAATGTGATCTCTCTTTACTTATAAGTTTAAGTTTTTTTGATTGGACATTCTAAAATAGTATCAGAGCAGAGTGTGCATGTGTGACTCCCATTTTAGTTGCGCATGCGTTCTTCTCAATACAATTTCAATTCAATCAACACTCAAAGAGGGGTCTATTAATATATCCCGGGCATCGCATTTATGCATATAATCTTTCTTCATCTATATGCTTAAACTTCGGTTGATGCATTCTAACGCTCTATATGGGCAATGTTGATATTTGAATGCAAGGTCCGTCATTTCCAAATTGCTACTCGATCGTCACACATAGGAATGGATACCACACATTACATTATCAAGGGGAAAATTATCCAAAAAGTCATAAATCTATTGCCAATTCAGTCCTAATTCTTTCAATTTGGCTAATTTAGTCATAAACCTTTTGACAAATTAACAATTCAGTCTATCCGGCCAATTTTGATCGGATATTGCTAACGTGGACTCTGGGCACCCTATGTGGCATTGCTAGTGTTGACATGGACAAATTTTATCATTTTTTTATTATTTTTCCTTTTCTTTTTTCTCTTTATTTTCTTTTTTTTTTTTCCATTGTGGCCGGCTAGGTCATTGGCGAGGCCAACCTTGCTAGGGGTTGGGCTGGCGAGGTCAACCTCGCCCAGCGACGGTGAGGTCAAGCCTCGTCTGGTCGACGAGGGTTGCCGACGACCTCGCCGGCCACAATGAAAAAACGAAAAGAAAATAGAAAAGAGAAAATAGAAAATAAAAAAAATTAAAATTTGTTAAAAAATATGAAAAAATATCCACGTCAACATCGGTGGTACCACTTAGAATAGCCAGCGTCCACATTAACGATTTCCAATCAAAATTAGCTGGATGGACTGCATTGAATTGGAAAACTATCAAAAGGTTTAATGGCTGATATGGCCATCTTAAAGAGTTTAGGAATGAATCGGCACGAGTGCAATATACTTGAGATTGTTTTTGGTAATTTTCCTCCCCATCGATACATACGCAATACATGCATCGAATGTTCACGAAGAGATATGCACATCGCATTGAGTACATGATCACATCCATCCAATCCATATCCGACCTAGACGTACCATACACATGCAAACGAAGGGGGAGAGATGGATACAAACATAGGTGAATAGGGGGGGAAAGAGTGTGCTTGTGGGTCAAGCTCAGTCGTGCTGTAGGGGATCGTAGGAGCAGCAAATTCAGAAGTGGGAGAGGAGGAGGGGGGGTGGGCCTCTGGGGACCAACCTGATGGAGACCTTTGATCCCCACTTTAAAGTTTCCATCTTATCACACGCACACACAATTGTGTCTGCCCTCCTTTCTCTAGCCGACAAAGTACTCTCCCATCTCTCTCTGTCATCGATATCAACTTTGTTGCTCCCCAAAAGTGAGAGTTATACATACATGTCTCCTTAGGAAAATTTATATATTTTTGAAATATAGAAAGATTCATCCGTACCCTTGTAAAGCTAGACTTCAAATTTGCTAAGAGTTTCCTCAAAATTCTTGACCATGTATAAAGAGACTAAACACGTGATTAGCGACAAAATGATCTTATGTGATCTATAGGATTACGGTAGACGTTATGCAGATCTAAAAATAAAAAACTCTATAATAAAAGGCGTGCTTCGATTTAAATTTGTTATTTGTGCTTACTAGGTTAGACCAGTGACGGAGCCAAAAATTCGACTTGGGAGGGGCTAGAATTTCATCGTACTTGAGTTTAAGTTTTAATCACCTCTGTATTAATAATTATTTTAGATAAAAGTAGCATAATAAGAATAAATAGGCGGGGCTATATTTTCCTCGAAACAAATCAAAGTCGTAATTTTTTCCTCTATCTTATTTGGAGGAAACTTTGATCGATGGACTCCCAAGTTGTGAACATTAATTAATCACATGCAAATTTAACTAAGGATAAATAGGTGGGGCTATATTCATCTCCATCTCTGATTTGAAGGAAATTTCCTTTGACAATAGCTCTGATAAGTAAGTCACAATGTGTAGATGTCGTCTCTCACATACAAACCTAGCTAAAATTAGAAGTGTGTGATGATTATGTTTGTAACCCTTCAATCAGAGAAATGATTAGATGAGGTTTCTTCCAATCAGATGTAGAGAAAAACCATGGCATAAATAAACATGGGCAAGTTCCATGCTCATAATTAACCAATCGGAAGACTAATTGGAATAAAATATAACCCAAACTGAGATACTTATGTCTTTGATTGATGAATCACAAGTTTGGATCGCTAGCCACATGTAAGTTTAACTAGAATAAAAAATGGATTATATCTATATTTATAACTCATCAATCAAATATTCCACCGGTGAAAAAAATAAACACATAGGCTCAATGTTTGCATACCTACTTTTGATTGTCCCCCATCCTCTCAGTTACTGCACTCTTAGACAGGTGGGTTTTGTCCAAGGACCATGGTTGTCTCGGGAACGGGTATTGTTTAACGGGTTCGTGGGAGTATCCGATCCATGTAATCTTTTGTTTAACAGGCGATGCTTCTTGTCACAGTCAGAGCGATACAGCGACAGCTTCTAAACCCGCGTATTCACTTTGTTGTACCCCAAAAGAGAAGTAATAAGAGTTGTAAGAAGCCTGCTGTCTTCTTCCCCCACCATTTTCTGCCACGCCTTCTCTTCTCTCTCTCCTGTGGGCCAACTCTCTCTCTCTCTCTCTCTCTCTCTCTCTCTCTCTCCACGTTTGCCCATAATATAAGACACCGCGTAGATTCTCTTGTTCCTCTTCTGTGAGATTTAAAGAGTGTATGCTGCTGAGTGTCTGCGTGAGTTAAGAAGACGCAGAGAAGAAGAGAGATGGATTGGCATGGCGACTTGAGAAGTTTCAGTAACGTCTCTTTCCCTGAATCTTCCATTGGCTTTCTCAACCCCAACTTCGCCCAATACCCTGGTATGTTTCCATGTATATCGTTTCCTTTTCCTCTTCTCGAGCTTTCTTCTTGCGAATTCATTTGACTTCAATGGAATGCATTTATTCTGCATTTTCTGGGTGCTGTAGATTCTAATGGCTTTTTCATTCAAGAAGATACGCATAATTAATTCAACCAACACCTTTCCTTAAAGAGAATAGCAAAAGAAAGGAGGACGAAAGAGGAAACTCCATTTGCAGGCAATTATTGGGTTAAAAAAGGAGCATTCTAATAAGGGTAACTGAGATCTTCCATAGATTATCTGGGGAAGTTGTAAAAAGCAGAAAATGATTAGTTATAACGTGTGAGAAAAACAATTTGGGAAAACTATTGCGTTCTTGATGCCTCCCACAAAGCAAATATGACAATGCATCGACATCATACATTTTCATCATTAGTAGGTATGGAGCTGAAGCACCACCACCACCACCACCACCCGCCGTCGTCCTCGATGGCCGAGGCCCAGAACGACGCGGTGGTAGCGGGGGCGATGGACAAGAAGAAGAAGCTGACGAGCGAGCAGCTGGAGATGCTGGAGAGGAGCTTCCAGGAGGAGATAAAGCTGGACCCGGACCGGAAGATGCGGCTGTCTCGCGAGCTCGGGCTCCAGCCGCGCCAGATCACCATCTGGTTCCAGAACCGCCGGGCCCGGTGGAAGACGAAGCAGCTCGAGCGCCTCTACGATGCCCTCAAGCTGGAGTTCGATGCGGTCTCGAGGGAGAAGCTCAGGCTCCAGGAGGAGGTACTTATTTGTGTATGACGATGCAAAATGAGCATTTTACACTCTCTCTCAAAATGCAATCCATGCACATACTAAGAAATCATATATATATATATAATTATATTGCAAACAAAATTTCGAATAGCATGAGATATAAGTTGGTCTACTAAAGCACAACGGCTTATCCGTGAAATTTACTAGTTGGAAAAAATAGTATTTTCATGTGAAAATTGCATAATTACTTCTCATAATGTATTAGAATCATACTTAAATTTATACGAAATTCCAACTTCGGGTTATTTTCCACAATAAGTTGATAATACGACTGACTGACATCTTTCGACTAATTTGGCCTCCCCCCCCCCCCCCCGCCGAAAGGTCTCAAGATTGAAAGCCATTGTGAGCGACATCCAAGTGGCCAAGAAGAAGCAAGTCTCCACCGGCTACACCGACATCTCCGGCGACGAGACGGTGGAAAGCACTCGCTACTCCGGCGAGGTCCGCCACTGCGGCGACCTCCCGAGGGGGGGAGGAGGAGGAGGAGGAGCGACGCCGACGGCCTCAACCACCCAACACCACCACCTCACGGGCTCGAGCTATCAGCTGTTCACCCTGCAAGACTACGAGTCCAACTCCTACTGGGGCGTCCTGCCTTCATCATACCCATGATGAGAACTGACCTCCCCCAGAAAAAAAGAAAGAAAACACTGTAACCTCTGACTCCAAGCTTGATGAGTGTTTTAATTAAGCTCTATAGGGTATGTAGGGACTGATCATGGTAGTGTTTAGGGAAGTAGAAGGGGAGTGCCCCTCTTTGCTGGTGACCTTTTGTTGAACTCCATAGACTTTCGAGTTAGTCAAACTTTTTAATTGAGCTTCTATATAGCTTTGGTGTGAAGTAATCTTCAAGCCTGTTGTGGAGGTCTTTGGAGGTTCTCTCTTTGATATTTCTCTGAAGAAGAGTTGCTGTATTCCATCTACTAAGTATAATTTGTCAAAGATAGATCAATGTCCTAATTAAGTAATTGACCAAATTACCTTGTCCATGAGTCTCTCTTGGTCAAACTATCAATGTGATAGTCTCTCTTGACCAAATTACCTTGTCCATAAGGTACTAAAAGTTTATCTTGAATGACCAATTCCAAATATGCCCCTATATCGGTTCGGGATTTTCAAAGTTGCCCAGGAACAGCAGTCCATGTGTCTGAGTCGCACCGAAAGCGGATGGACGTTGAAAAAAGTTTAGACGGTCGTGAGCCATGTCCGTCTCATGTGCATCTGTGCACGTCTGGGAGAGGGCATAATTGTCCGAAACGTATGAAATTATACATATTTAACAAAATCAAAATAAATGATATGAAATTTAGAAAGCATCAAGAAAAAGGGTCCACCTATTTCCATGGCCTCCACTGATAAAGCCACAGCCTTCCAAACTGTTGACCGCTGGAGTGAGGGAAATGCCCTCGACGACGCCTCCCTTTTCTCTCTCTCTCTCTCTCTCTCTCTTCTGCATCGACTCATGAGACGAAGCCCAGCTATTTTTCTTTCGTGGAGTTCATTAGATCGAGCTTGAACTCTCCCAAACCCACCAAACAGACGAGGGACACACATGTTCATGTCCGATGCCAATCGTTCCTCATCAAACAAAAAAGTCGACCGGACTTTGCTTGGTGTTCAGTGAGCGCTGGAATGCTTCGTCTGGCATGAGGATGCAATGGCTAACCAGCTTGATAAGTCAACTCTGTTAAACAGTGAACTAAAAAGATGAGAATGGGTGGCAATTGCCAATACGTGTTTTGTGTTTCAGTAATAGAATTGTTTGTTACATTCTTCGGCTACATATTGTGATGTCTTTATATAATACAAGCTAGGGTTACGGAATTAATGAAGAATAAAATCATGATCTCTTCTCTTTGGAAAGAATTGATCTTGCTTGATGAGCGAGTGGTGGAGAGATTGTAGCTGAATCAAGACACGTCATTGTGCTCTTTTCTCTTTGGAAAGAATTGATCTTGCTTGATGAGCGAGTGGTGGAGAGATTGTAGTTGAATCAGGACACGTTATTGTTTCCTTTGACACCCCCCTGCAAGCTGATGTGGCGGAACACACAGTAAGCTTGGACTGTAGAAGTCGAAAGCGAGCTGTGGAGAGCCCTTTGGTGAAGATATCGGCAGGTTGATCGGTAGTGGAGATGTACTGAACATGAAGTTGATTTTTGGCAATCCGTTCTCGCACAAAGTGGTAATCAATTTCCACGTGCTTTGTCCGAGCATGAAAGATAGGATTCCCTGTCAGATAAATGGCTGAGATGTTGTCAAACCAAAGAACCGGAGGGCCTTGCCAAGAAACACCGAGATCACGTAAGAGAGCCTCGATCCAAATGAGTTCAGCAGTTGTGTCGGCTAAGCTTTTGAATTCGGCCTCTGTGCTGGATCGAGCGACCGTCCGTTGCTTACGGGAACTCCATGAGATAAGATTTGAGCCAAGGAATATGCCAAAGCCGCCAACTGACCGTCTCGTGTCATGGTCCCCAGCCCAACCTGCATCAGAAAAAGCATGGAGATGGAAATTACGGCTGCTAGTGAAGAGTATGCCATGGTGCTGCGTGCCGCGAACGAAGCGTAATATGCGTTTAACAAACTGCCAATGGACCTCCGTGGGTGCATGCATGAACTGACAGGCAGTGTTGACAGCGAAGGCAATGTCGGGCCGAGTGAGAGTAAGATACTGCAATGCACCCACAGTACTACGATAAAGAGACGGGTCCGAGAACAGCTCACCACAATGAGAAGATGGAATATCCGAGCCCGCTACACATGGGGTGGTGACAGGCTTCGCATCCTGCATTTTTGCTCGGGCAAGAAGGTCGGCTGCATATTTTATCTGGTGAAGAAGAATACCATCCGAAGTGCGTTTTAGTTCGATTCCAAGAAAATAATGAAGCTCACCCAAGTCTTTGATAGCAAATTCCTTTTGTAGAGACTCCAGGAGAGTAGACAATGGAGTTGTAGGGGATCCTGTAATAATGATGTCGTCGACATAGATGAGCAGGAAGATACTGTATTGGGCTGTATGCAGTATAAACAGTGAGGAGTCAGCAGTAGAAGCTACAAAACCTATGGAGACGAGAAAATTACTGAGACGTTGGTGCCAGGCACGTGGAGCTTGTTTCAAGCCATAGAGAGATCGTTTTAGGCGGCAGATATGATGAGGATGGTGGGGATCAACGAAACCAGGCGGTTGATCCATGAATAGTTCTTCGGTGAGATGACCATGGAGAAAAGCGTTCTTGACATCTAGTTGTCGGAGTTGCCAACCCCGAGAAAATGCAACTGCGAGGACTGTACGGATCGTGACATGTTTCACCACCGGACTGAAGGTTTCATTATAGTTGATTCCCTGCTGTTGATGAAAGCCCTTTGCGACTAATCCGGCCTTGTACATTGTTCAACATGAGCCATCCGCACGAAGCTTGATACGAAAGACCCATTTGCGGCCAATGGGCTTTCTGTCTTGAGGAGATGGTACAAGCTCCCATGTCTGATTTTTTAGCAATGCGGTGTACTCTTCGGCCATAGCTGCCCGCCAATGCGGGTCTTTTACCGCTTGACTGTAACAAGATGGTGTAGATGGGACGGCTACCAAAGTGGTGAGTGCATAGGTGTGATCCTTTTGCACATGTCGGCGGGGAACGGTGCTGTCTCGAAGTCTGGTCACCATGGGGTGGGCTAGTGGCGCCGTTTGTGGTGGCGGATTGGTAGCCTGCTGGATTGTGGTATGTGTGATATCTTCAGTGGTAGGAGATGGCACTTCTGGTTGTAGTTGGAGAGATATTGAGCGGGAGGTGGAGGGATTGCCGTGCACAGGTGTCGGCATGTGAGATGCATCAGTCCTTGGCTCCTGCATATGTGAATCATCAGGTTGCAAATGTGTCAGTGGGGGAACATAAAGGGGTAACTCCAATGATGCTGGTGGGGACACATTTGATGATTCGTCGGTGACGGGAGCAGCAAACGGAAAAACAGTCTCATCAAAGGTGGCATCTGCAACTGTATAGAACCGTTGTTGTTGTGGAGAATAGCAACGATAGCCCTTGACACCTGAGGGATATCCCAAGAAAATACATCGATGTGACCTGGGCTCTAGTTTGTGCTTGGCATAAGTTCGTAGGTTCGGGTAGACAGCGCAGCCAAAAACCCGAAGATGCTCAATGGATGGTGCGGTAGAAAAAAGTACTTCCCAAGGGCTGCGCTGCTGCAGAACGGGAGTAGGCAGTCGATTGATAATCTGAACTGCACTTTCAAAAGCAAAATCCCAAAAATGAGAGGGAACAGATGCATAGTGCATCATGGCCAAACCCGTTTCAACCACATGTCTGTGTTTGCGCTCGGCCGAACCGTTTTGAAGGGCCAGGCGAGGACAGGATGTCCGTTTATAAATGCCACACTCCTGCAATAATTTTTTAAAAGATGCAGAAAGAAATTCTCCGGCACAGTCACTTTGGATGGCTTTAACTCGGGTATTGAGTTGGTTTTCAACAAAGTTTAGAAAGACCACGAAGATATGTAAAAATTGATCACGAGAGTTGAACATATAAAGCCAAGAAAATTTGGAGTAATCATCAATAAAACAAATATAATATTTATTATTTTGATGAGACGTTACAGGAGCTGGCCCCCAAATGTCAAAATGAACTAATTCTAGGGGAGCCTTGGATCTATGAAAAGTGGGAGGATGAGGATGAGGATGACTCTTACTAGAGGCACATGCCGAGCAAGTTGGTTGAACAACTGACGACTTATTTAACATGCGAGAAATAGTAGAATATGCAGCATGGCCTAAACGATGGTGCCAACGGACAAGGGAGCTGGACTGAGATAGGTAATAAGCTGAAGGAGAAAGCTTGGATTGATTCGACAGTTGATAAAGTCCCTGATTAAGGTTCCCTTGGAAGAGAATCTTGCCCGTACGGCGGCACTTCACAGAAAAACAATTAGGTGAGAAAATGAAATCACAATTGTTTTCCTGTGAAAATTGACGAACGAAAAGTAAGTTTTTCTTTATAGAGGGAACAACTAGGACATTGGACAAACGAAAATTTTGAGAAACAAGAGTACCTATATGGGTTATCGGGAGGCTAGACCCATTGCCTATGGTAACATGTTGGTTGCCTATGTAGGGCTGAAGAGAGGACAATTGAGATGGATTATTTGTGACGTGGTGTGTAGCACCGGAATCTGGATACCACGGGTCCGAAAAGACTGATGGTGGTGGTGGAATTTCAACAATGTGGAGCTGTGGTGCCGAGCCTAAAGATTGTGGTGGAGGCCCACGATCTCGGCACACATTGGCTCGGTGGCCAAAGCGATTACAGATTTGACATCGAACACTACCCCTCCTTTGATTTCTGTAATTTCCTGCATTTGGAGAGTAATTTGGGGCTGAATTTCGAGGGCCAAAGTGCTGTCCACTTTGCGGAAATTGTTGCCCAGGCCGTGGTGACCTATCCATACAAGAAGGAAGCTGTTGAGGTGATTGGTGTGCTGTCCGCGTCATGAACGCTGCTGGAGGGGAGGTGATGGGCTTAAGCAAATCAAGTCGTGCCTCATGAGCCAAGAGCAGCCCGTGTAGAGACTCACGTGTAAGGGATTGGTACTGACTTTGAACGGAGATTGACACTGCTAAATTTTGATATTCCGCTCCAAGTCCCCTGAACAGATGAGTTTGATATTCTTGTGAAGAGATGTTCTCACCAATCGAGGCAAGTTGATCAACAAGGAAGGCTGCTTGCTGTAGATATTCTGTGATTGTTTGATTTCCCTTACGGAGAGTTTGAAGTTGCATTTGTAGATGTGTGGCGCGAGCACTGTTACGTGCTTCATATGATTGAGCCAAGAAGGACCATACGGCTGCTGAAGAGCCTAAATTGGAGAGCTGTGCAACGATGTTGTCAGCTGTGGAATTGAGAATCCACCCCAAG